GCCTCCCAAAGTGCTGGGATTACAGGCTTGAGCCACCGCACCCGGCCTTAGAACAGTTTTAAGTTCACAGTAGAATTGAGGAGAAGGTACTGAGATTTCCCAAATATACCCTGTGCCCTCAAACATGCACAGCCCTCCCCATTATCAACATCTCCACTAGAGTAGTACCTTTGTAATGAGGAACCTACACTGACACATCATTAACACCCAAAGTCCATAGTTTAGGGTTCACCCTTGGTGTCATCCATTTCATGGGTTTGGAGAAAAGTATATAATGTCTATCTACCATGAAAATATCACAGAGAAGTTTTACTACCCTAAAAATCCTGTGTGCTCCACTTACACATCCCTCATTTTCCCCTCCATCCTTGTTAACCACTGATATTTTTACTGTCTCCATAGTTTTGCCTTTTCCAAAATGTCATACAGTTGGAATCATACAGTAGGTAGGCTTTTCAGATTGGCTTCTTTCACTTAGTAATATGCATCTAAGTTTCCTCCACATCTTTTCATGGCTCAGTAGCTCATTTCTTTTTAGCACTGAAACCAACTCTGCTGGACCTTGATCTGGGACGTCCAGCTTCCAGAACTGTGAAAAATAAATAAATTTCTGTTGTTTAAGCCACCCAGTCTACGGTATTTTGTTATGGCAGCCTGAGCTGGCTAACACAGGACCTAAACCTAAGAACTGAAGAGGGCTTGAATACTTATGATATGCACATTTCAGCAATAATGAAATTTCTAAACAGAAACCTGTCAATTAATTCATTTGGGAAATAATATTGATTGAGTCATTGATTGAGTGACAAAGACAATCCATCCCTGCCTTCGTGAACTGATTAATAATATATTTAGGTAGAAAAATATATGCATGCACCAAGTAATAAATAACAATGCCAAATAAATATGGCAAATATAAACCACAGACATTTAAAAAGGGAGAGGTGTTTTGTTTGCTTTATCCCTCTTTTACTTCCATTTACTGCTTCATGAAATGCCACGGTATTTGAATAAATATAATGAATCCAAGAAATTCACCAACTCTTACTAGAATTCTTAAATTATGCAAATGAAATACACAATTCTTCTAAACCTTACAGATGAGATAATGATGACTAGCTTTGTTACTCATAAAAGAAAAATATCAGCTTTGTTAAATCAATCAAGATTATATAATAAGAAAGAAAAAAAATGCCTTTTCTTGTTGAACCCTAAGTTCAGGTTAAGGCTGCTCATTGGGAATAGCTTACATAATGATTAAACTATATAATACATATAATATATAATATATAATGTACACATATATAATATATACTATAGAATGTACATCATTTGAGAAGAAAATGCTAATGTACTTGGGACTGTTGGCCGTTGCTAGATATGTAGAATGTCCTAAAATAAAAAATCGCCAGGAGAGCTGGCTCATGACTGTAATCCCAGCACTTTGGGAGGCCAAGGACGGCAGATCGCTTGAGGTCAGGAGTTCAAGGCCAGTCTGGGAAACATCTCAAAACCCTGTCTCTACTAAAAATACAAAAATTAGCCAGGTGTGGTGACATGTGCCTGTAGTCCAGCTACCAAGGAGGCTGAGGTACGAGAATAGCCAGATTGCCTGAACCCAGGAGGCGGACACAGCAGTGAGCCAAGACTGGGCCACTGCACTCCAGCCTGAGCAACAGAGCAAGACTCTGTCTCAAAAAAAAAAGAAAGAAAAGAAAATCATAACTGTATAAGCAGAATATCTCAATCTAGGTGCTTATAGCAAAAAGCACATTTTAAAAAATGTATCACACTCTTATTTAAAGACATTTCTGGTACAACAATAATTTATATTGTAAATACTATGAATTTTATGCTTATAGAAGTTTCCATAGTTATAAGGATAAACAAATTTTGATATAAAAAATAACCAGCTGTCGGCTGGGTGCGGTGGCTGTAATCCCAGCACTTTGGAGGCCAAGGCAGGCAGATCACGAGGTCAAGAGATGGAGACCATCCTGGCCAACATGGTGAAACCCTGTCTCTACTAAAAATACAAAAATTAACTGGGCACAGTGAGTCCCAGCTACTTGGGAGGCAGGAGAATCACTGGAACCCAGGAGGCGGAGGTTGCAGTAAGGTGAGATTGTGCCACTGCACTCCAGCCTGGCAACAGAGCAAGACTCCATCTCCAAAAAAACAAATAAATAAAAATAAAATAATCATCTGTCAAATAAAAGCAACTCCTACATCCTGTGCTTTTAACTGGTCTCTACACTGCTATTCTTGCTCCCTTTAGACATGATCATCAGAATAATATCTTAAAACAAAAATTGGGCCGGGTGTGGTGGCTCACAACTGTAATCCCAGCACTTTAGGAAGCCCAGGCTGGCGGATCACTTGAGGTCAGGAATTTGAGACCAGCCTGGCCAACACTGGTGAAACCCTGTCCCTACTAAAAACACAAAAATTAGTTGAGCATAGTGGCAGGTGCCTGTAATCCCAGGTACTTGGGAGGCTGAGGCAGGAGAAATCGCTTGAACCCTGGAGGCAGAGGTTGCAGTGCGCTGAGATTGTACCACTACACTCCAGCCAGGTTAACATGAGACTCTGTCTCAAAAAAAAATTACATAATGGTAATCCCTTGCCAAAGCTACCCAATGGAATAAATGGAAACTTTTTAAAATGGCCTCAACCTTCCAAAGCCCTATTATTCCTCTAAATATCACCTCATGCTGTTGTACCTCTTTCGCTGTGCTTCTGCTAAATGGGATTCTGTCCATTCCTCCAAAGTAGGAAGGAATCTGTTCTGCCAAGTATCTTCCTGAATTATTCTCCCCATTTATCCCCTCCGTTTGGTGGTCAACTCCCTGTCATCCTTCTAATCTCAGCTCAATGGCACCTCCCTCACCACTCATTTGAAAGCATCCCCACTATATTCTGTTTAAGCCTCTGCTTTAAGTGTCATCTACTCTGGCCACCTTATTGAAAATTGCAACTTCCTGTCTTCCACTCCATAACATCTTTTTCTTTTTTTTTAATTTCTAATGGGAATAGATTATCTTCTTTCTCTCTAGCACTTATAATTTTTTTCTGAGACAGAGTCTCACATTCTCGCCCAGACTGCAGTGCAGTGGCTCAATCCCCACTCACTGCAACCTCCTCCCCCCAGGTTCAAGCGATACTCCTCCCTCAGCCTCCCGAGTAGCCAGGATTACAGGCACCTGCCACCACGCCCAGGTAATTTTTTGTATTTTTAGTAGAGACAGGGTTTCACTGTGTTGGCCAGGCTGGTCTCAAATGCCTGACCTCATGATCCACCTGCCTTGGCCTCCCAAAGGGCTGGAGTTACAGGTGTCAACCACTGCACCCAGCTGCATTTATCATTTCCAAGTTACCATAAAATATACCTACTTCATGTTTATTGTCTAGTTCCCTCTCTAGACTACAAACTCTAAGAAGGCAGAGGTTTTTGTCTGGTTCACTGCTGTAGCCACAGTGCCTAGTAGGACGCCTGACACATGTAAGTGCTCAGCAGTTACTTTCATAGCATTTGTTGTTTGCATATTGACTAATGACTCATTGAAAGTCTATCTCCCTCTCTAGACCCTAAGCTCCGTGAGTGCTGATTCCCATATCTATTTTGTTCACCATTGTATAATCAGTGTCTAGTACATGGCCTCACACATAGCAGGTGCTCAGTAAAAACCGTTGTATAAATAAAGGTCTAAATTGTGTGAGAGGCTGGATTGTTAAGGCACGTCAATCCAGCACTTGTGATTCTTAGTCTTTTTAAAGATGGTGCAGATACTGTACTTACAGATTGGCCCATGTCTACTTTCCTATACGTAATATTCACAATTACTGAGAATATAAGGATAATAACTCTTGAGGCTTTTTTTCTTTTTTTGAGACAGAGTCTCATTGTCACCCAGGGTGGAGTGCAGTGGTGCTATCTTGGCGCACCTGCAACTTTCACCTCCTGGGTTCAAGCGATTCTCTTGCCTCAGCCTCCCGAGTAGCTGGAATTACAGGTATGCACCACCATGCCCAGCTGATTTTTGTATTTTTTAGTAGAGACAGAGTTTCCCCATGTTGGCCAGGGTGATCTCAAACTCCTGATCTCAGATGATCTTCCCACCTCGGCCTCCAAAAGTGCTGAGATTACAGGCGTGAGCCACCATGCCGGCCAAGGATAATAACTCTTGAATCCTTTCAATACTAGATATTTATTGAATGTTTACTGGGTCCCAACCCCCAGGCCAAGTGCCAGAAATACAACAATGAAAGAGAGACACATTATCCAGAGTCACCAGGGAGCTTACATCCTAATGAAGGAGACAGACAGTACACAAGAAAACAAATCAATTAAAAAATATAAACATCTGAGTGACTCTGCATTAGATAGGAAAGGCCACTCTAAGAAGGTGCCAACTGAGCTGAGGCCTGAAAGAAGAGAAGGAGCTAGATTTCTGAAAAGCTTGGGAAAGAACATTCAGACAACAAAGACAGCAAATATAAAGGCTCTGGGATGAGAAACAGTGGACCTGTTTCTCTGGCAAGTCCTGAGAGAAAAGTGAGGGATTAGCTGAGCTGAGAAAGGCAGGCAGGGACAAAACCTCAGCCCCTGGAGAGTATCAGAATTCTGAAGTGTATTCCAAAAGCAATGGGAAGCAAGAGAAAGACTTTAGATCGGATTTATAAAGATCATCCTGACTGCTAGGTGAAGAACAGATTTGAGACAGAGTGGCTGCAGGGAAAATGTGAAATGGTGGTGGTTTGGACTAGAACGCTGGTAGTGGAGATGGGAAGATGAAGTACAAAGACGGGAACTATTTAAATATAAACATATAGGCCTGGCACAGTGGCTCAAGCCTGTAACCCCAGCAATGTGGGAGGCCAAGGTGAGTGGATCAGCTGAGGTCAGGAGTTTGAGACCAGCCTGACCAACATGATGAAACCCCATCTCTATCAAATATACAAAAATTATACAGGTGTGGTGGTACGTACCCGTAGTCTCAGCTACTCAGAAGGCTGAGGCATGGGAATTTCTTGAACCTGGGAGGCAGAGGTTACAGTAAGCTGAGATCATACTACTGCACTCCAGCCTGGAGTACAATGAGACTCCCTCTAAATCAATCAATCATGTAGACTAGGTATATAATAGGCTCTCCTTGGTCAATTCTTGGCCAGTCAGCAGGATTTGTGACAGTTGATCATTCCTTTCTTCCTGAAATACTTTCTCTACCTGCTTCTAGTACACCAGGCACTTAATGGTTTTCCTCCTACCTCCCTGGCTGCTCCTTCTTAGTCTCTGTTGGTTTCTTCGTAGTCCCTCTTTCTATCCATGTTGGAGCAACCCAGGGCTCAATCCTTGGACTCTTCCTTTCTCCATTTACACACACACTCCCTTAGCTATTCATCAGGTGTCATGATTTAAATATCATATGAATCCCAAATGTAGATCTCATCTCACTTTCAGATTCCAATGTCCAACTACCTACATGATAGCTCCACCTGGATGCCAAATCACATCTCAATTTTAATAAAATTAAACTCTTGATCTCCCTCCCTCTTGCTCTTCCCACAATCACAGTCCCACCCCAGGTCTTTCCCATCTGCCATTCTCCCTGTGTAACCTCCTCTTTGCACAAAAATCCTCATCAATTGCTCCCATATATCTTTCTTATCTTTCTCAAAAGGGACTTTTCCTGACCTTCCCTAACCATGCTTCCCACAACCCCATTTAAAATTACAGCACTCAGACCAGGTGCGGTGGCTCATGCCTGTAATCCCAATACTTTGGGAGGTCGAGGTGGGAGGATCCCTGAGCCCAGGAGTTCAAGGCTTCAGTGAGACAGGTTTGAGCCACTGCATACCAGCCTGTGTAACAGAATGCGAACCTGTCTCAAAAAAAACAGATAACATTGACCAGGCACAGTGACTCATGCCTGTAATCCCAGTACTTTGGGAGGCCAAGGCAGGCAGATCACGAGGTCAGGAGTTCGAGACCAGCCTGGCCAACACAGAGAAATGTCATTTCTTCTAAAAATACAAAAATTAGTCAGGCGTGGTGGCGGACACCTATAATCCCAGCTACTTGGGAGGCTGAGGAAGGAGAATCACTTGAATCCAGGAGGCAGAGGCTGCAGTGAACTGAAATTGTGTCATTGCACTCCAGCCTGAGCAACAAGAACAGGGCTCCATCTCAAAAAATAAAAATAAAAAATTGCAACATTCATCTCATATCCTCCATCCCCATTCCTGGTTCTATTTTTCTCCCTAGCAGTCATCTCCTTGTAAAATTATTTACTTACATACTTGTTTAGTGGTTGTTTATGCTCGCAAAAACACATGCTTTAACTTCATGTTTTTCTAGTTCCTTGAACAATACTTGATATATAGTATGTGCTCAATAAATTGTTTTTTTTTTTTCTTTTTTGAGACATTCGAGTCTTGCTTTGCTTCCCAGGCTAGAGTTTAGTGGCACAATCCCGACTCCCTGCAACCTCTGCCTCCCAGGTTCAAGCAATTCTCCTGCCTCAGACTCCTGAGTAGCTAGGATTACAGGCATGCACCACCATGCTCGGCTAAGTTTTGCATTTTAGTAGAGACTGGGTTTTGCCATGTTCATATTAAATGCATGAAGAAAAAATGTAAGTTAAAACTATTCACTATTCTGGTATTCTTTGCCACTTGTTTACCTTTGGAGGAGGAGAAACTGAACATTTCTACTGTTCAGTTTGCAATGTATTTAACCAGAAAAGAAAGATGGTAACATAAGCAGGAAAGAACCTTAAAAAAAGTTTGCAGTTTGCAGTAATATCATGGTGACAGAACCCCCAAAAAGGCATCCAGGCACAGTGACTCATGCCTGTAATCCCAGCACTTTGAAAGGACAAGGTGGGTGGATCATGAGGTCAGGAGTTCAAGACCAGCCTGGCTAATATGGTGAAACCCCATCTCTACTAAAAAAAAAAAAAAATTATACATATATATATATAGATAGATATAGATACACACACACACACACACACACAAACACACACAATTAGCTGGGCGTGGTGGCACGTGCCTGTAGTCTCAGCTGCTCGGGAGGCTCAGGCAGAAGAATTGATTGAACCCAGGATTGCTTGAACCCGGGAAGCGGAGGTTGCAGTGAGCCAAGATCGCGCTACTGTACTCCAGAATGGCAACAGAGCAAGACTCGGTCTCAAAAAAAAAAAAGAACCCCCAAAAAAGCAAACAGTTGTGTAGAATGAATCGCAAAATTAAGAAAAAGTCACTGTAATACTAATAACAATATAAAAAGGAATTAAAGTGCACATGTTCACAGAATGACATACTTCATGTATAAATTTTTTGGCTCACTCAAGGGTTTCACAACTTCAAGTTGCGAATATATAAATTTGTATATGGAGAAAAAGGAAAAACTTCGAGGTAGCTTAGGTTCATGAAGTTAGTTCTTGATACAGTGAAGTATGTCATCCCGTGAACATGTGCACTTTAATTCCTTTTTATATTGTTATTAGTGATTTTTCTTAATTATGTGATTCATTCTGCACAACTGTTTGCCTTTTTGGGGGTTCTATCACCATGCTATTACTGCAAACTGCAAACTCTTTTTAAAGTTCTTTCCTGCTTATGTTACCATTTTTCTTTTCTGGTCAAATACCAAATGGTGAGTTATGAAACATTTCTGTGAAGACTTTTATTTTGACCTAAGCAGGAAGCCAAGATATAACATCTTCCAGGAATTAAGGATTGTTAAGAGCGACGAGTCGAGTCTCCACTTCTTAAACTTTGTTTCTCTCTCCTGGACCCTTCCGCCAGGCCATCTGCAAAGCGGAACCAGCTCTGGGGCCACCACCTGCATCCACAAGGCCTCTCCAAGGTCCCCTCCTCCAGCTGGTGCCCTCCCCAGCGCCCTGCCAGCGCTTACCAACGCCGGCGGAATTCGTGCTTCTCTTCCTCTGTGGTGGCAAAAGCCTTCTTTTTCCTCATAAAGCCTAACAACTCCCGGATCTCCTTCTCACAAGAGGCCAGAAGCGGGTTTTTCTCGTCCAGCGGACCATAAAACACGGCTACGGGCAACGAGTCCTCGGGGCAGGTCCCCTGAAGCAGAGAGCACCGGGAGCTCCCGTTTGACTCCTTAATCACCGTGGAGGTCAGGAGCTGGGTCGACGGCAGTTCTGGCAGCAACCCCGAGGTGGTGGACTCGTCCGACGGAGAGTTCGAGGGGGCGCCCTGCGCCGCCATATTGACGCTCCCGGCAGGCCTGGAATATCTGTGTGTACACGCGGTTGCCTGGCGACGGTCTCGTGGCAACCGAGCATCCCGCGTCCTTTCCGGGAAACACAGCGGCCCCTGGAGGGCAGAGTGAGAAAGAACCAGGTCCGGAAAGGAATGATGCTCCTTTGGAGGTATGTTGCCTGGTTGCACACTGGCACCACTGTATGAAATGCGAACAAAGAACGTTCTGAGCAGAATGCCAGCAAATATTAGAGCCGAAAATTTAAGATCAAAAATCCAGACTCTTTATCCATGTTGGCCACTTAATAACGATACTGATGATGACCATGACCATTAATGTGTTTCAGGCATTAAGCATTTGAAACATGTACTTTCATTTATCTCATTTAATCATAACTACTTTACAACGTAGGTTACTATTAGTATATCCATCTCACAGTTTAGGAAACCAAGTCTCAAGGAGGTTAAGTCATTTGACAAAGGTCAGAGTACAACTGTAGTGTCAGGGACCAGGTCCTCACCTTATGACTCCAAAGCCTGTGCTCAAAATGAAAAAGCTGTATTGATCACTCCCCAAAACAAGATTATTAATCAAATTGAAATTAGGGAAATATGTGGCAAGCAGTTTAAGAATCAAATACAGTTGGCCCTCTGAATCTCGGGTTCTTCATCTGTGGATTCAAGCAACTACAGATAGTAAATATCCCGAAAAAAATTAGAAATAACAATACAACAATAACAATAACACAAAATACCATATACAGCTATTTACATAGCATATATACTATATTAGGTATTACTAGTTACCTAGAGATGATTTAAAACATCCTGAAGGATGTGCATAGGTTATATGCAAATACTACAGCATTTCATATCAGAGGCTTGAGCATCCACAGATTTTGGTATCTGTAGGTGTCCTGGAACTAGTCCCCCACAGATAGCCAGGGAGTACTGCCTATGTAACTGATCCAGTCTCTTTCCTCTATTTGTACCTTGAGGTCTGTAACTGTGGATATGATGCCTGTCCCTCTAATAATTATGATATCTATTTATGCACATTCCAGCCTCACTTTAGTTATCTCTGTATTCTAAATTAATATGCATTTTGCTCAACCTTGAGCAAAGGACATTAATACATGCTAGTGGCTTGAAGTGTTAACTCTCAAAATACTTTGCATTTTAAATAGGGTTAGGAGACTTTACTTCTGATGGGGAAACTACAGGCCTCCAGAGAACTGCCTGGGGAGTTTATTCTTTCCCTGTTTATTATAGGGAAATTAAATAGTCAGGGTTGAATTTATTAAAGTATGAGTTTTGAGCAAACAGAGAACCTTCTTTTCTTATAAATTATGCAACACCATAAATTAAGAGAAGGACCAGCAATATTTGGTGGCTTAGAAAAATTGGTCTTTAACCCTGAAAATTGTTACCAGTTCTATCACACTTAAATAAAGACAGTGACCCTAACACCCTGTGAGCCCAATTTTCCATTTCAGATAAATAAGCTTATTGGACTACAGCCTGATATCTTTAAGTCTGACCTAATTTCATGCAGGCTCTGTGGGCCTGTGCTAATTTGTGAGGCTGGCGTAATATGTCATGTCTATTCTGTACCCTAATATTCTTTGAAGGATATTTTGCTCATTGGGGCAGGTAATTATAACCAGAGAACCTTCCTGGCAAACGGTGAGATGCAATGACACCTCACTGTAGGAGTCCAATTCTCTAATCAGGATATAGATATCATCCTTTGATCAACAAAGATTTTATCTTGTTCTCTAAGTGAGCAATGAAAATTTTAAGACTTTAAAGAATGTAGTCCCAGAGAAAGAATTCATCACTGGACATTTACAAAAATATTAATAGGCTTTTTTAAAAGTCAGCTTGGTAAATTCTCTTTTTTTCTCATCTTTTTCTTGTTCTCACATGGCAGACTTGTCCATTGCAGATCAAAAACTGGTGTAATTTGCCACTGAGTGCTATCTATTATATTGATGAAAGTGAAACAGCAGGATAAAATTAATTAAAGTGGTCCCAGAAGAGGAAAGAAAAAAGCAGAAGACAAAGTGGTGTTTTTCCCTCTAATCTGGATACTCTCACAGACTTTCTCATAGTGCAGACACTTACATTTCAAAGTCACCGGTAAAAGAAAATGTGACTAAGTAAATTGAAATCCCTGAATTATGAAACATTGCATCTTAGTCACCTTCCTCCTTGCACGGACTAAAGCTAACAATGCTTAGCTTACAGTAGTTTTTGGAAACTTGTCTGAATATTTAAATGGGTGTTATATTCTGAATCATCATTATGATAAGATGGAAGATTACATTTTATTTAGTTTAAATTGAATTGGTTGGGTACAGTAGCTCATGCCTATAATTCCAGCACTTCGGGAGGCTGAGGTGGGTGGATCACTTGAGGTCAGGAGTTTGAGACCAGCCTAGCCAACATGTTGAAACGCTGTCTCTACTGAAAATACAAAAACTAGCCAGGCATGGTGGCACATGCCTGTAATCCCAGCTACTCAGGAGGCTGAGGCAGGAGAATCACTTGAAACCGGAAGGCAGAGGTTGCAATGAGCCAAGATCACACCATGGCACTCCAGCCTGAACAGAGTGAGACCCTGTCTCAAAAATAAATAAATAAATAATAAAAATAAAATAAATGGAATTCAAGGCATTTTTGACATTTTAGAGGTGTTATCTTCCTTGTAATTAGATGCAGCCATTATAATATCTTTTCTATTTTCTTGTCACTTTGCTTTTTTCTTTTCACTGTAATGAAAGAATGGAGCTGTGCAGCTACTGTGCCTGACAAGGCTAAGTAATTTAAATAGCTTCCTTATAAATAATGTAAATTGCTATTTCTTATAATTATCATCTTTGCAGGCTGCAGGGATGCTTTTTGCCCATTCGAAAGTCTTTTTTATCTAAAGCTACTGACTGTTAAAGAATATGTAAGGTTAGTGCCCTTTCCATTCTTAATTTAGTTGTTAATCATTTGGACTATCCCAAATAGAAACAATATATACGGTCTACCTAATATACACTTTTTTAAACCTCTTCATCCATTTATTCAGATAAATGCAAGCATTTCTTTAGTGTCCATATAATGCATAGATAAATCCATACATTCCCTACAGGAAGCAGGTAACTCATACTCAAATAATCATGATAAAAAGGCATGCTATAGATTTGCTGGACATGGTGGCACATGCCTGGCGGCTCTGCTACTTGGGAGACTGAGGCAGAAGAATCGATTGATCCCAGGAGGCGGAGGTTGTAGTAAACAAAGATCATGCCATTGCACTGCAGCCTGGGTGACAGAGTGAGGCTTCATCTGGAAAGAAAGAAAGAGAGAAAGAGAAAAGAAGGAAAGAAAGAGAGAGAGAGAGAAAGAGAAAGGAAGGAAGGAAGGAAGGAAAAAGGCATGCTGTGGAATGTGCTGTGAGAAAGGTTTAAGAAATATGGGGCTGCCGAGTGTGGTCACTCATGTCTGTGATCTTGACACGTTTGGAGGCTGAGGCAGGAGGATTGCTTGAAGTCAGGAGTATGAGACCAGCCTGGGCAACATAGTGAGATCCTGTCTCTAAAAAAAAAAAAACAAAAACAAAAAAAACTTTTTTTAAGTAGCCTGGCATAGTTGCATGCACCTGAAATCCCAGCTGCTCAAGAGGCTGAGGCAGAAGGATCACTTGAGCCCAGGAGTTTGAGGCCACAGTGAGCTATAATCACACCACTGTATTCCAGTCTGAGCTACAGAGCAAGACCTTTTCTCAAAAAAAAAAAAAAAAAAAGAAAAAGAAAAAAAGGAAAGGAGAGGGGGGGGGAGGAGGCTGGGATTGGGTGGGGGGCGGGAGGAAGACTGTGGGAGTTCTAAGATGAATCTCAGAACAGGAAAGAGAACAGAGAATTCTACAGGAGATGATGTTTTAGCCCTAGACTGTAAACGCCTCTCATTTACAGAAAGACCCTTGCAACAAGAATTTACCTTCTTACCATGGTAACCTAGCACCCAAGCCTGGCATCTGGCACAGAGTACAACTCAATACATCTTTGCTGGAATGAGTGAATTAAAAAAAAAAAAGATGAAGAACATTTAGAAGGATATGGCTAAGAGAAAGGCCTGAGTAAGGAATAGAGCCATAAACACACACAGCAAGCTGAAATAAACAAGCTGTCTAGTGTGGTGAGCCACAGGCCTGCCATCGATCTGGAGGCAGAAGATGAGCAGAAAGGGAGGTGCGATCAAGTACAATGGGTAGCTGGAAGGTATGTGAAGTAATTTTGACTTGGTTCTGTAAGGAGAGAGGTTTCGTGGTTTTGTTTTGTTTTTGAGACGAAATTTCACTCTTATCACCCAGGCTGGAGTCCAATGGTGAAATTTCCGCTCACTGCAACCTCTGCCTCTCCAGTTCAAGTGGTTCTCATGCCTCAGCCTCCCAAGTAGCTGGAATTACAGGCCTGCACCGCCATTTCTGGCTAATTTTTTTGTATTTTTAGTAGAGATGGCGTTTCACGATGTTGGCTAGGCTGGTCTCGAACTCCTGACCTCAGGTGATCTGACCGCCTTGGCCTCCCAAAGTGCTGTGATTATGGGTGTGAGCCACCATGCTCCCGTGCCCAGCCAAGAGAAGCTTTGTTTAAACAAACAAACAAAAACAGTATATTGGCCAGGTATGGTGGCTCACGCGTACAGTCCCAGCACTATGGGATGCCGAGGCACAAGGTCAGAAGTTGGAGACCAGCCTGACCAACATAGTGAAACCCATCTCCACTAAAAATACAAAAATTAGCCAGGTGTGGTGGTGGACGCTGTAATCCCAGCTACTCAGGAGGCTGGGGCAGGAGAATCGCTTGAACCCGGGCGGTGGAAGTTGCATGAGCTGAGATCACACCATTGCACTCCAGCCTGGGTGACAGAGCGAAACTGTGTCTCAAAAAAACAAACAAAAAACCCAGTATATTGAAGACGTTAAAAGCCCACGCGGTGGCTCATACCTGTAATCCCAGTGAAACAGGAAAACTTCCTTTGTACCCCCT